CTATGTCTGCTGTCCATCATTTTTTCTTTCAGTTTTGTTTTCAACACGTAAATATGAATGTTTCCAAAGTGAAAATGAGGTAACAAGGCCCATTCAGAGAAGACCTTCTTTCACCTCATTTGGCTGTGTGCACTTTCTGCCCCCAAAGATAAGGATCTGATGGATTCAAGAGTTTATACTTCCAGTGTGTTTTTTCACAAATAACAGGTTGTTGGAAAAGTCTTGTTTTTGCTTGAAAAAATATGTCATGACTTTTCCAACAACCCAACGTGAGCAAAGAGGTATGTGCACGCGCACTCATATTCCTATTTCTCTCTCTTTTAACGCCCCAAACAGCATTAACATTTCAGTTTGGTGCCTTGCTTCCTTTCACCTTCCCTCTTGGCATGGAGAAATCCTCCCCTTACCTTTTTACAGTGTGTTCCAAAGCATCTGTATGGTCCCTTTATAAATATTACTAAAAATCATTAAAAGTGTGAATTCTAATTTAGACAGAATTTAATGAGCTAATTCTAGCTTATCTCAAGCAAATGTTCAATTTCAGGGTAACCCATGCCACTCTCCTCCTACCTCCAACTGTCGCGGTGTGTTGGGAGAACAGAAACCAGCTTGATAATGACATGGTTGGAAAGTAAAACTTGCCACTGGAAGGGAAGTTAACAATGTCTCTTTTTGTTCTCTAGGAGCTTGGGTCTGGGCAGAAATCATAATTTATGGAACAGGACACCATTTATACGAACACCGTTTAATTGCCTAAAATCAGAGGCTTCGCGTCACGGTAAGAAAACTGAACTAGCCCCAGATGTAGAACTGTAAGGCTCGAATTTATTGATCTATCTAGTTCACTCTGCTGGGGTGGTAGGGGCTTATTACTCATTTCAAAAGTAGAGACCAAGAGCCAGGACTAAATCCTCCATCAATGCTTTCTGTGAAAATTAATTGTTTAGGGGCCTCCCTGGTGGTGCAAGGGGGTGAGCATCAGCACTATGAAGCTATTTGCAGCCTCTGCAGCACGAGTTCAATCCCCAGTCAGGGAGCTGACCCCACATGGCAGAGCAGACCTCTCCTGTCTCCCCGCTGCTCCCCACAGCAGTGGATTTCAGTAGATCTGCCTGTTCTGCTCCCCACTCTGTCTCTGGTGAATCCTCTCACCCCTCACACCTCTGACCTGCACCCCAGCTCTTGTATGCATAAATAAATCTTTTTAAAAAAGAAAATTAGTTGGTTATATTAAACACATGATGTTATACTAAACACATGATGCTGGGCAGTGTGGCTGTAGGGTCTCTAAAGTCAATCTTAAACAATCTGGCATCTGTCATTGTGCCCATTGCTATACTTCCAGCCTGTTGCCCTCCAGCTCCTGCAAGTCAAGGAAATAAGGTTCCGGAACTGGAGGGTTGCAAGAGAGCAGTGAGTCTCCGCGCTCCACCCCCTGACTTCTTGAAGAGGGACAGCTGGACAGACCCAGCAGCAGAGGTCCTGGTTGGGGGGGCCTCAGATCCCATGTATGACCCTTCAGTGGGCTCCCGCCTGTGCCTCTTCTCCCTGTCAGGGAACGAAAACTGATACCCACATAACCAGGACGGGCCTGGGGTCCCCACACTGTTAAGGGAAAAACCCACCTTGTCCTTTCTACAGGCTTGTGCCCACCTGTACATGTAGAAGCAGTTACCACACCCTACTGTGTGCAAGGATTTTCACCTGGTCAGAGGCGCAGGGGCATCAGGGGGAGGAGAGGAGCAGGGGAGGGAAGGATTTCAAAGTGTGGATTTCCACTCAAACCGTGAAATCAACCATCCCCTTGTGGGTAAAGGTTTAGCCAAACAGGCAGGCCCAGAGCCCAGCAGCCAAGGCCCAAGAGCAGAGGCACCAGGAGAACAAGTCCAAGGTCAGCTCCCAGCAGGAAACACAGCAAGAGGTTGCACAGGGCCCAAAGGAGGGAAGCTGAGAAGCCACCGCCCAAGCTTCCTCCAGCACAAGGTCAACATGGCGCCGCCAGAGTCTCCAAAGGAAGCAGGATCTGGCCGCCCGCCGAAGACCTGAGGGGGGAGAAAAGTCACATTCGGGAGTCAACTGAAGAGGTGTACGCGAACAGAAGCTGGGGTCCCCGCTCCCCAAGAACCCAACCAGTTCTGTCTTTTAAAGCCTACGCCGAGGCTCCGCTCTGCTCCTGAGCCCCAGTTCTTCCCTGTTGAGTGGGGCGGTGGAGCAGCGCGAGGCCACCTCTCCTTTGCGACCTTAAATATATGCTATTCTGCCCTTCGCAGCACATGTTCCTAAGGAAAACTTGAACATATGTGTTTAAGGTCAATTCCTGGGGCGGGGTGGGGGGCGGAAAAGCAAATCAGTCATGTTTGTAGATTTTCGTTTTTCTTCTTGCATTAGCTTCTTTGAAAATGCAGTTAATCATTTTAGGTCTCAAAGTAATAGTATTGGTGTATTGCTGGTCATTTATGAAATTGTCCTGCGCAGAGTAACTTATTCTGTGCTCAGAAATCGATGCTAACTTGCACTTGTGAGAAGTTTTGTAATTTGTTCTAATGCATACAAGAACTGGGGTGCAGGCCAGCGGTGTAGGGGGTGAGAGGATTCACCAGAGACAGAGTGGGGAGAAATACACTGCTGAGGGGAGCAGCAGGGAGACCAGAGAGGCCTGCTGCGCCATGTGGGTCAGCTCCCTGGCCTGGGATTGAACTCATGCTGCAGTGGCTGCAGATTGCTTCATAGTGCTGAGACTTAACCCTTGCGCCACCAGGGAGGCCCTCTTAGTACATTTCAAATAACATTTGCCTACGTGAAAACACACCTTTCAAGAACTGCTTTCAAGAGAACTCTGCACATAAGAACTTTGTGTTTTGCTGGGAAATCTCTTAAATAATACTGGCTAACACATCTAACACAATAAATAATTATCAAAATTTTACTTTAATTATAGGGGATGTAATTTGAGGTTACATCAGAGAGAGCTACAAGGTAAATTGGCCTGTTCAGATCCAGCGGAATTCTGAAAGGTCTCTTGGAGGGCATAAAAACATAGAAAACACTCAATAGTTCAAATAATTGTGAAATATCTGAACCCATGAGGCTTCTAATTCAAAATTGCCATTAACATGGCTTTACAAAGCCAAATGTGACCTATTGGGTAAATTCCTAGGTACAAAATTACTTTATTGCTTTTCATAATAAAATTAATTCATTATGTTTATTAAACTTTAAAGAATGCAATTGTGAAGGGGTGAAATGCAATATATATATATATATATGCATATATATATCTTAAGATTTATTTATACGTACAATAACTGGGGTACAGGCCAGAGGTGCAGGGGGTGAGAGGATTTACCAGAGACAGAATGGGGAGCAGAACAGGTGGATCCACTGAAATACACTGCTGAGGGGAGCAGCGGGCAAGACAGGAGAGGTCTGCTGCACCATGTGGGTAGCTCCCTGGCTGGGGATTGAACTCCTCCTGCAGTGGCTGAAGATAGCTTCATAGTGCTTACACTTAACCCCTTGCACCACCAGGGAGGCCATATATATATATATGGGTAACTAATTTTCTGCCTTTAAAAATTAAAAACTTGAGGAGGGCTACAGTACAGCATGAAAGCAAGCACAGAGGGCCCAAGGTGCCAGGCTCTCACAGCCCCTGCACCCCAGGAGCCAGCTCTGCACAGGAGGGCCCTTTGGTCTCTCCTCCCCGGGCAATGGACTTCTTCCTCAGAGTCACTTTTAGAGCCAGACAACCCCCGGGGGAGGCACGGAGCTTTCTGGCCTGCACGGGGCCCACGTGCGCGCTGGGCGCAGACACGCGTGTGGCCGCCTTTGCTGTCATCGGTTCTTAAGTTTTCGGTGAAACACTCAGCACTGCTGTTGTTGACCCTGAAATTAGTGGAGGTACCGTGTCACAAAATCAACTTTTTTTCTTTTTAAAAATTTATTGAACTTTTTGAGTGCTTTGGGTTTTGTGTTCTGCGGTGCATGGACAGGAATCTCGGTCGCTCGAGCAGACTGTCCTGGAGGCCGGCCCGGGCGCCCCGCCGTGCCCTGGGCCGGGGCTGGGACGGGTCTCCGCGGTCCTCCGCGCATTTGCGCCCCCCCACCCCGCCCAGCACCCCTCGAGACCCCGACCGCGCGCCTCCCTTCGCTGCGACGTTTTCTCGGTGTCTCCGCGACCTGGAGCCGCACCCGCACCTCTCCCGGGCCCCTGGCTGCCCAGGTGGGCGCTCCGGAACCCCGCCCCGACCCGGAGCGCCCGGTGCCCTGTTCCCCGCCCGCCTCGAGGCGGGTCACCCGAGGATGGGGCGCGCGGCGCCGCCAGGGGGCCTCCCCGCCCGCTCCCCGGCCCGGCTCGCCCATCCCTCGCGGCCCGCCCGCGCCCAGGCCGCCAGCGGGGCCGTGCGCCCCCCGCGCGCCCCGACCCCCGCCCCGGGACCGCGGGGCGCCCCGGCACCCGGCCGCGCGCCTCGGGCTCCGGCGCGGCCCACGAGCCCCGGGGGCCCCGGAGCCTCCCGATCGCTCGGGGCGCCGGCCCGGGCTCCGGCCGCGCGCTCCCCGCCCGCCCCCCGCAGGCTCGCGCCGCCGCCCCTCGGCCGGGGGGGCCCCGCGCGGGTCCCCCCAGCGCGCCCCGGACGCGGCCCGGCGCCGGCGCCCCGCAGCCCGAGCGCGAGCGCCCCCCGCGGCCGCGCCGCGCGCAGGCGGGAGGAGGGAGCGGCCCGGGCCCGGCCCCCTCCCCAGCCCGCCCCCCGCCCGCCCCCGCCCCCCGCCCCCGGGCCCGGCCGCGTCCGCGCCCCCGCGCCGCCCCTGGTTTCCTCCGCGGCGGCGGCGCCCTGCGCGCGGGCATTTATTTATTTCCGGGGCCCGCGCGCTTATAATGGAGCCGCTGTCCGCGCCGCCCGCCGCCGCCGCGCGCCCCGCGCTCGGGTTCCCAGGCGGAGCTTCGGCGAGTGGGAGGCCCGCGGGCATGGACCCCGGCTCGCCCGGCGCCTGCTAGAGCCGCGCCCCAGCCGCGCCGCCCGCGGAGCAGCCGCCGCCCGAGGCCCCGCGCCCGGCCTCGCCCGCCCGCGCCCCGCGCCCGGCCCCGCGCCCCGGCACAGCCCCCCGCCGCGGCAGATGAGCGTGGGGTCGGCCCCCGGCGGGGACTATGGTGAAATTCCCGGCGCTCACGCACTACTGGCCCCTCATCCGGTTCTTGGTGCCCCTGGGCATCACCAACATCGCCATCGACTTCGGGGAGCAGGTAAGCCCCGGCCGCGCCCCCGCGCCCCCCGCGCGCCCCGCCTCGGCCCCGGACGCCCGGGCGCGGGGCTGGCGGCGCAGGGGAGTCACCTGCTCCGAGTCCCTGTTCTTCCCGAGCCTGCGGCCGCGGCCGCAGTTGTCAGCCGTGACTTTCCGGCGCGCGGCCCCCGCCCTGCGATTATTCAGCAGACTTTCCCGGCTCGCCTGGAAACTGCTCCGAGACCGGGTTTTTTTTTTTGGGTTTTTTTTTCAGCTTCACCTATAGGAGGGTTGTCGGGGCACGGCGGGGGATTATGTAATTGGTGATTATGTAAACCCCAGGGCTGTCGCTAAAATGCAGTTTCCCGGAGCGGGCGCGCGGCCGTGCGTTCCCCGGGGGCCGGGGAGGGCTGGGGCCCGTGGGGAGGCTTTCCATGCGCGTGTGGCCACGCCGGTGTCCCAGGTACTTGCAGTGTTTTTTGTTTTTTTTTTTTGGAAGCCCAGGTAGGAGGCGAGCGTACCCCAGATGCGTCCCCAAAGCCGAGCGTGGCCAAGCGTCGCCCATCTCCAGCTGGGGGTTGCTTATTTCCACCCTTGGACCAAAAGGAAAGGGAGCGCTTTTTTGTTTGCTCCCTCCTCGCCCTTGTTTCTTTTTCTTGTTTTTCCCCATTTGTCTCCATGTGGCGTCATTGCAAATCCAGCGCTGCAGACGCTCCAGCTCGGGTCCTCCGGGCGCTTTGCGGGTGGGGACCGTTTGGGCCGAGCCTGCGCGGGTGCAGCTGCTGGGTCGGGGCTGGGAGAGGCTCGGGGCGCGGCGGGGACCGGAGCTGCACCTCGCGGGACGGCGCGTGGGCGCCCCTGGCGCTGCCGTCCTGCCTCGTTTCTCCTCGTGGCCTTCCTTTCCGTGGAGACCTCAGAGGATGTTTACGTAGAAAATGCACTTCTTTGCGCGCATTTTTAGTTTCCCCAAACCAGGGTTTCTGAAGGGGGGCGGGTGGGCTTCTATTTGATGGATACCTGCTCAGATTTGTGTCTGTGCTCAGAACTTTTGATTGATTGCAGCTCTCTAAGTTGCATTTTCCGCCCAGTGTTATGGCCCAGAAGTACTCACAATGGAGCGCGGTCTCTGGAGAGCGCGTCTAGTAAGCTGGCTAATTTCTTTGATGATATATTGTGTCATTTCTGTTGCCACTTGGAGCTGCCAGGGCCTCACCTGGGTCCTCCCCCAACTCCCCAGGGCCTTCTGCTCCTCCACCTCCCTCCCTCCCTCCTGCCCACTGTCCCCTCTTGCACAATTAACTGGTGGCTCCGGGCCTGCCCTAGGATGGAAAGGTGTTTTAGACCTGAATTTACTACATTGCGCATTTTGCATGAGGCAAGTGCTGTGTGTTCACCTGAACCTTTTCCTGTTTTAAGGCTTACCTTCTTGGAACTGCCCCCAAAGGTTGTCAGGAAGCCCTGGCTGCTTGCCTGATTGAGTCTCCTGCAACTGAAGGAGGAGAGAAGAGAGGGAGAGAGATTAGCCTGGGCCATAATTAAATGACTTGACGCTTGTCACAGTGTTGTCTTCTCACGCTTGCTGTGATTTAGTAAGAGAAGCTGATGTAACTAAGCATTTGATTTTAGTCTCAGGAAAGGCATCTGCTGAGGTCACAAAGGGAGACCAGGCACAGGAGACAGCCAGGCCGATGATTTGTCCTTGTGGTTCTAATAATTCAAGCTCCCGCTCACACGTTGCTGACCTCCTGCTCACAGCTGACAAACGCTACTGAACACTTGCATTTGCACTGAAGCAAGTTTTATCAACAAGTGTTGTTGGAGGTCCTTATCCCTTAACCACTGTGTGTTTGTGAGGATCCGAGCTGCCTGGTGGTGGAGATAGTTTATTGGAGTAAGGCGTGGAGGGAGAGGCAGGCAATGAAATTGATAGGTTTCCAAAGCCTTGCCTTGCCCTCTGGTATCAGCTGATAATTGTTTTGCAAAATGGTACAGAGGAGAAGAACAGAACTCTCTTTCCTCATTTTAAACTGGGGGGAAGCATCGCCATGAGCGCTAGAGAATGGCCTGATGATAGGCCAGCAGCTAAAATAATATTTTACCTGGACTGCTTTGAAGCAGAGCCAGACAGCAGGGAAATGAACCTGCTTTCAAAAGTAGGTCTGCATTAGACATCTGGAGGGTCCTCATCTTGTCATTTGAGTTTTGATCCCATTCTAGACAACTGGGCCCATGGAGGATTCCATTGTTGCTCTTCCAGAGTGAGCAGGTGTATTATTCCTTGCCCTGGATGAACAATGATTCATGGTTCAGTAATTTACTAATCTTCAAGTGGGGAGGTGACAAGGGGAGTACAGAGGTCAAAGAAACCCCTGGTCCCTTGTCCCTAGACATCAAGAAATGCACAGTCAAAAAATAAAACAGCTCATTAGCTTTGAAGTCCCTGAACAAAAGGATAGTAAAATTGTTTCAAATGTTTCTTAGGTGACTTGTTTATATTGAGGTAACATTGTTTTACAACATTGTGTATCATTTAGGGGAACAGGTTCACACCTCCAGAGGTATCAGTGATTTTTTTTTTTTTAAGATTTATTTATTTATTCATACAAGCACTGGGCACAGTCAGAAGCGCGGGAGGGTGAGAGAATTCACCAGAGTCAGAGCGGGGAGCAGAACAGGCAGAAGGACCGAAGGACACTGCTGAGGGGAGCAGCGGGCGGCAGGAGAGGTCTGCGCGCCATGTGGGACCCTCCTCCGGTGGCCGGGGAGCAGCCGGGGATGGAACCAGCGGTGCAGAGGCTGCGGGCAGCTTCGTAATCCAGCGCTCAACCGCTGCGCCACCGGGGAGGCCCAGATTTGATTTATTTATTTTTTTTTAATGACTATGAGACACATCTCAGTTTGTGGTTTCAGTAGAGAATCTGGACTAAACTTTAAAATGGAAATCCAAGAATATATGAGTCCACTGAAATCTGAACAAGCACGTGGCTGTAAAGGATTTACACGTTAATTATCTCACGGCTATTAATGTGGTGGGGGAGGGATCACCGAAAAAGCCTATAATGATCCATCCAGAGCCTCCAGATATTCTCCACTAAAACCATCTGTGGTATGTTGGTTTCCCTGTAATTTTATAGCACAGGCGGGAGGAAACCCAAATGTTGTGGAGTATTTATTCTGACAAAATTAGCATAATATGTTCTCACGTTTTTGAAATTGGGCGGTAGCAATAATTGGAAAGGGTGAGGGAGACTTGAACTCTGTACTGGAAAATACAAGCTGTGTGTGGAGTAGAATGACTGGCTTGTTAAGCGTATGCGCCCGAGAAAAAAATGAGGATATGGCCATTACTGCAGAAACTTAAGTAACGTTTGAGGAACCCCAAGGGCACGTAGCGCACTTTCTGATAATTGCAGCGTATGTGGAACTGTCGTTTTAGCTCCATTTGTGGAGATTGGAAATCAAAAGTATTAACAGCTTGTAGTCTTTGTTCTTTATTCTATACTCTGGGTATAAGCACAGACCTCGATGGTGCTTTTAACATCCCAGCCCTGTTGTAGAAGAGGCAAGAGTGAGCGGGCTAGAGTTAAGTCATGTGCTGAAGATCACACAGAGGGCAGAGCTGGGCCTCACCCGCACGGCCCAGGGCCTCCTCCAGCCAAGTTCACACCCTGAGTTCTTAGAAATTTAGGAGTAAATTCTGGGTTTTTTTTTTTTTTTTTTTATTCCCACCCTATGTCTAAATGTAATCTTGGTTGTGCCAGGGAGCAAAACTCTGCTATGCCAGATTATGTGTTTTTGGCAAAGAGGCTGATTTAATGGAACAGGCTGGATAGGCTGGTGGAGGTAGCTGTTGATATTTATCTGTAGGCTGTAGGGCTCAGGAAGACCTGAATCCTTAGCTGTTTGCAATGGAGAAGGCAGGTCTTCATCTGCATTCCTTTTGTTTGCTGCTCCTTCCCAGTAAACTCCCTAACTGACCTTCTGTTTCTCCCTGTCCCCCAGCCTCTCTTCTCATAAGCTCTTTAAGCCACATGGGTGAGTCACTCAGTCTTTCTTTTAAAGGATTTATTTATTTATGCATACAAGAGCTGGGGGACAGGCCAGATGTGTGTGGGGTGAGAGGATTCACCAGAGACAGAGTGGGAGCAGAACAGGCGGATCCACTGAAATATGCTACCGAGGGGAGCAGCGGGGAGACAGGAGAGGTCTGTTGCGCCATGTGGGTCAGCTCCCTGGCCAGGATCGAACTCAGGCCACAGTGGCTGGTGATAGCTTGATAGTGCTGAGACTTAACTCCTTGCACCACCAGGGAGGCCCTGAGTTACTCAGTCATGCTGGTCTCTACCAGGTCATAGGCTGTATGCATGTTGCTGTTAAATATCTTTTGACTTTTTACCTCGTAACAGTCCTGTCTGATGCTTGTTTGGTTATTTGCCAGCCTAGAAGAACCCAGAGGGGACAGGGTGATCTTGGCACCTCAACAACTGTCACATTTTGAAGTTTAAAGATTCAGCAGCTGGAGGGCTCCTGGAAAGGGAGATTGTGACTAAGAAGTTCATATAAGAAGAGCCAAATGCTCCAGATAATTGGTTAAATCAACATCATCTCTTGACAGAGTTGCTGTAGGGCCTTTGGTCAAGGAGAGTGGAACTGTAATATCATGATGAAAGTGTTTAGAAATCATTTAGTCATTATTATAAGAGCAAAACAGGTTGCTAGGGAAAGGCAGCGATGCTGTGTTTCTTCTAAAGTATCTTCAGATGTCAGTTTGATGTCCCTGTGTTCAAAGGACTTATTTCTCTTTAAAACTAAACTCGGGAGCCTCCCTGGTGGCGCAAATGGTTAAGTCCCAGCACTATCAAGCCATCACCAGCCACTACAGCCTGAGTTCCAGCCCCGGCCAGGGAGCAACCCACATGGTGCAGCAGACCTCTCCTGCCGCCCGCTGCTCCCCTCAGCAGTGGATTTCGGTAGATCCACCTGTTCTGCTCCCTGCTCTGCCTCTGGTGAATCTGCTCACCT